TATTTAAAATATTTGGGAATTTGTTGTTATTTTATCCATCCATCCATCTATTTTCTTCCATTTATTCGGGGTCGGGTCGCTGTAGTCTACGTGATACTCGGGTATATGGAGTATATCCACTAGAAAAGCTTAAGCATTTGAGTATACTCACTTAAAAGCTCCCAACGATACATGACATATCATCAGGCACGTGTCATCAATACGTTAAAGGGCAGTTAAATGCTTTCGTAACAATCTATTGGTATGTAGCGTTTTGCTTTGATACGGTTTTATAAATTTTATCAACTGTTTTTAATACAAACTGTTGTATTTGTTGTTCATTTATTCAAATATAAGCATCAGAGAATTTGGAAATGTTCAATATGCTTAAAAATCAAAATAAATTGACAATTACATTGTACTAACCAGTGTACTTTGGTTTCTAAGTACAGTATACCCACTGCAAAAAATGTTGACTTCACCACTGGTCACAACAAAGCTCATGACCATAGATGAGGGTAGGAACGTAGATCGACCGGTAAATCGAGAACTTCGCCTTTTGACTCGGCTCTCTCTTCACCACGATAGAACGGTACAGCGCCCGCTTCACTGCCGACACTGCACCTATCCGCCTATCGATCTCTCGCTCCATTTTTCCCTCATTCGTGAACAAGATCCCAAGATACTTAAAATCCTCCACTTGAGGCAGGACCTCTTCCCCGACCCAGAGAGGGCACTCTACCCTTTTCCGGTTCAAGACCATGGCCTCGGATTTAGAGGAACTGACCCTCATCCCGGGGGGACATGGGGACCACCACATCGGTCTGCCAGTCCAGGGAAACTGCCCCCGATGTCCACACAATGTTGCAGAGTCACATAAGCCAACACAACCCCACAACATGCAGAGAGCCTTGATGAACTCCGGCCAAATTTCATCCACCCCCGGGGCCCTGCCACCGAGAAGCTTTTTAACCACCTTGGTGACCTCAGCACCAGAGATTGGAGATCCCGACCCAAAGTCCCCAGACTCCACTTCCTCAGTGGAAGACGTTCTGGTGGGATTGAGGAGGTCTTTGAAGAACTCTGCCTACCGAACACGACGTCCCGAGTTGAGGTCAGCAGCACACCTCCTCCACTATAAACTGTGTTGGTGGTGTATCCGCACCCCCCCCCCCCCGCCCCCCAGATACCGGATGGTGGACCAGAATCGCCTCGACGCTGTACAGAAGTCATTCTCAATGGCCTCTCCGAACACCTCCCATGCCTGCGTTTTTGCTTCAGCGACCACCCGAGCCGCATGCCGCTTGGACTGCCGGTACCATCAGCTGCTTCCGGGGTCCCACAGGCCAAAAAGGCCCGATAGGACTCTTTCTTCAGCCTGACAGCATCCCTCACCGAGGGTTGCCGTCATGACAGGCACCGACAACCTTGCGGCCACACCTCCGATAAGCCGCCTCAATAATAGAGACGTGGAAAATGGCCCAACTCGGACTCAATGTCCCCCACTTCCCCCGGAATGTGTTTGAAGTTCTCCCGGAGGTGAGAGTTAAAGCTCCGTCTGATGGGAGAATTTGCCAGACATTTCCAGCAGACCCTCACAATACGTTTGAGCCTGCCAGATCTGACCCGCATCCCCTCCCCACCATCAGAGCCAACTCACCACCAGGTAGTGGTCAGTGGACAGCACCGCCCCTCTTCTCACCTGAGTGTCCAAGACATGCGGCCACAGATCAGATGAGATGACAACAAAGTCGATCATCGAACCGTGGCCTAGGGTGTCCTGGTGCCAAGAGCACATATAGACACCCTTACGCCTGAACATGGAGTTCGTTATGGACAATCCATGACGAGCACAGAAGCCCAATAACAGAACACCACTCGGGCTCAGATCGGGGGGGCATTCCTCCCAACCACACCCCTCCAGGTCTCACTGTCATTGCCCACGTGAGCGTTGAAGTCCCCCAGCAGAACAAGGGAGTCCTCAGGTGGGGCACTCTCCATTACCCCCTCCAAGGACTCCAAAAAGGGTGGGTAATCATGCTGCTTGGTACATAAGCACAAACAACAGTCAGACATGTCCCCTCACACGTAGGCGGATGGAAGTTACTCTCTCGTTCACCGGGGTGAACCCCAACGTACAGGCATCAAGATGGGAGGCAACAAGTATGCCCACTCCTGCTTGGTGCCTCTCACGGGCAACTCCAGAGTGGAGGAGTGTCCAACCCCTCTCAAGGAAACTGGTTCCAGAGCCAGAGCCATGCGTCGAGGCAAATCCGACTATTTCTAACCAGAACCTCTCAACCTCACACACCAGCTCAGGCTCCTTCCCCACCAGCGAGGTGACGTCCCGAGAGCCAGCTTCTGTAGCCGAGGATCAGACTGCCAAGGTCCTCGCCTTTGGCCACCACATTGCACCCGACCACTTTGGCCCCTCCCACAAGTGGTGAGCCCATGGTAAGAGTTGTTATTTTACTGTTTTAAAAATCTTAAGTGGAAAAGTTGAAGACAGGATGTAGGCAAAGAGTGAGGGAATATCAAATAATTAAAAGGACATTATACTGAAGATGTTTTGTCATCCTCCTCCATCTCAATCTGTCCTCACTCCAACTACCTCCATGTCCTCTCCAACCGCATCCATATGTCTCCTCTTTGTCTATTTCCTGGCAGCTGCATTTCTAACATCCTTCTACCAATATACCCACTGTCCCTCCTCTGGACATGTCCAAACCACTGTCCCTCCTCTGGACATGTCCAAACCATCTCAATGTGTCCTCTCTAACTTTATCTCTCAACCTGTGCTGTAACTCTGTTGATCTCATTCCTAATCTTCTCCATCCTTGTCTCTCCTAAGTAGAACCTCAACATCTTCATTTCTGCCACTTCCAGTTCTGTCTCGTGTCTTTTTGTCCATGCCTCTGTCTCCAGACCATACAACATTGTTGGTCTCACAACTTTCTTGTAAACTGCTTTCTTCATACTACACCTCTCTCAGCACCCTGTCACATGCTTTTTCTAAATCCACAAAGACACAACGAAGTAAAAAAAAAAAATCTTACTCATGTGCACATACAATAACATTTTAGTCCTACTAAAACACATGCACACGCACTCACACACAAGCAACTGGAGAGAGCAAATTACTGCTTGAGTTTTCATTAATAACCCGTGAATGAGATGCAAAGTTTGCACTGGAGTGGACTGATCATAAAGATCAAAACAAACAGAAAAATGCACAGCATGCCACTTGTCAGAGCTAAGAGCATTTACTTAAAAATATTAACCTGCTTTAAAATAGGTTTTGCATGAAAATGTTAAGTTCCCTATGGGATCATTCTCACTCATTTTTGAAGCCATGGACAAATAATTAACTACAATTCTTGGATTCTTGGACTTTTATTCTGTCCGTAAGGCTGACACATTGTCCAGTTTTAAGGCTGGGTTTAAGATTTTCTTTTTGATAAATCCTACAATTAGGGTTGGCTCAGTCCTCACCTCCTTCTACAGGTGTGCAGTGGAGAGCATCCTGTGCTCGAGCATCAATGTGTGGCATGGAGGCTGCACAGCTGCAGAAAGAAAAGCTTTGCAGAGAGTGGTGAAGGCTGCACAGAAATCTGTTGGAATCAGCCTCCCCACCATCACAGACATCTACACCTCCAGATGCAGGAAGAGGGCCACCTGCATCATGAAGGACCCCACTCACCCAGCACACACACTTTTTGCCCCACTCCCCTCAGGAAGGAGGTTAAGGAGCATTAAGTGTAGAACCACTAGACTGAGGAACAGCTTCTACCCTGAGAATGTTAGACTCATGAATCTCTAACTAGAATAATCACAGTGAAAAACCATATCATGTTGCTGCTGATCTGTTTCATGTTGCTGCTGATCTGTTTCATGTTGCTGCTGATCTGTTTCAATGTTGATGTGTTCATGCGTGCACATCTGCTCACAGACTCATGTTCATGTTTGTGCTGATGTTCAATGTTTTTATGTTATGAGTGCTTAGTGTATATTTAGTTGATGTTTTTCTTAGTTCATATCTTAGATGTTATTACTGTTTTTCTTATACATTTTATTGTTGGATGTAACTGGGACCTTGTGTACATAATTTCGCTCCACCACATGTACCACATGAGGTGCGAATGACAATAAAGAAACTCTGACTCATGGCATCTTAAGCTTACACTGCTAGAAGACAAACTGACCTAATTTTCTTAAATGATTTGCTAAAATTGTTTTCATTTGATACTATTTCTATCTTAACATGCAATTCTTGACCTGCCATTGTGTATCTGTTCCTACCAAACCCAGCCCGTTGAAGCAGATGGTCCTCTTGTCCTGAGTCTGGTTCTGCTAAAGGTTTTTTCCTCATGAGGGAGTTTTTCCTTTCCACTGTCGCCTTCATGCTTGCTCAAGATGAAAGTTCTGTGATGGAGTTAAACTCAAAGCAGTCTGCTCCTCAGATAAATAATGTTAAATTATTATTTTTTATATGTGAATGTTTCTGTTCAGTGCCCTGAGACGACTTCTGTTGTGACTATAATTAAACTGAACTGAATTTAATTGGATAACTTTTTCAGACAAATCACAAGAACAAGTTGAAGTTCTTGCACTGGGGAAAACAAAATTAGTACAAATGATTCATTTGTAAATATGTTATTTCTGCAAATGCTTTTTCTGTCAAGATTTCAGAAACCTTTTGTTGAGAACTCCTACCATGTCCACTAGAGGGCGCACTGGTATTTACAATAAAAAACAAACGACGACACATTACATTTTACGGATGGTGACTCTGCCAACGTCTCGAGCTTTTTTTATTTTGTGTTGCTGCCTCACAACAGAACGATTTAATAGAGTTAACTTTTCGAAAAAACTTGTTTCTTAAACGTGTTTTATTCGAAACGCTTCTTCGATACGGAATTGACTTGGACTGTCGAAAAGCGTCGTAAAGTGGCTGTTTGGGGGAAGTGGCGCCCCCTGGAGGCCTTCGGCGCATTGACGGCATCGCAGCGGCCGCAGCCGAACGACCTACTGGGTAAACAACAGCGGCGGATGCCTTGGAAGGCAGGAATGGGAACTTCGTCGAGGGCAAACAGTGAGCCATTTTTTTTCTTCTTATCTATAAACATAATAGATAGTTCCTATTACATTTGAAGGGTTGTTAGAGTATCTCAGCGGATCAAAAAGCGTGAGTATAACCGAGTATTTATTTAGTGAAGTGGGGCTAGCCTTAGCTTAGCTCATCGCTACCAGGGCCCGTTGCCTTCGATTTTGTTTCACGGCTCTGCTTCGGGACTGTTGTCAGTTTCACAATCCCAGCCGCTGCCTCCCTCCCCGGTCTCGTTTTCAGCGTAGGCATGTGTAGTTGTTCGTTATGAACGTTTGTCTCTATTTTCTTAAGGATTTCATCTCGTGTTGTAAATGGGACCGGGACACTTTAAAATAAGGACTTAGATCCGGGTACGTTTTGTCTTTTGTTGTCTTCTGTCTGGTGTTATTCGGCTACCTAAGCTAGCTGTTTGGATTTATATATATATTTTTTTAAATTACAATTAGTACTTTATGAGAAATATAATGTTTGGACGCTTTTATCTGTTTGTCCTCGGTTCCTTCGTGGGACACACAGACAGCAGCTGAGCTTTTATTGCAGAAACTGTGCTTAGCCTGTCAAACCGATTTAATCTAGCATGGAGCTGTGGTTCTGCTGGCCTAATCAGACTAGTGAGTTTAACAGCGAGCTGTAGGTTTCAGTAGAAAAAGCCCAGTCCAACATATTCGATTTACTGTTGCCACCTGACAAGTTTCTTCTTTTAGCTGTCCTGAGTTTATGATTTAATATCTGAATCTCCTGCTTTTAGTTAATTTATTTGAAAATTGTATTATCATTCAATCTAATGCATTGAGACTTTGTTCCCTTTGGGGTTGCCTTTTCAGACTTCACACAGCCCCACATTTCTCTCTGTCATCTGAAGGACTCCCCCTTTACTCTAAAGAGGATACCGGTATATAATAAAAACTTTGTCGGATCGATGAGTTCACAATATTTTCAAACAAGGTTAAGTCTTCTGGATGGATTCTTCTTGTTGAAACGTTTCATCGTTTTTTTCCAAAAGACTTCTTCAGTCTGAGGAGCTGCAACAAACTCGGTCTTAAAGCAGCACCTTAGTGGATCAACCACTTTGCTGCTGACATCCAGAACTAGTTGTTCACATGCAAAAGGAGGACTATGGCCTAACTGTTGGTTGTTAATGCCCTGATGGCCACTTGCTATTCACAGAGGGCTGAGTGATACTAGCAATAACAGCATTGTAAGGGGGGGACAGTTGGAACATGGAGGCCTCCACCCCTGTTTAATGATGAACGGTTTCTCTTCACAAAGATGGCCTCCTTCACTCTTCTCTCAAACCAGCGTTCCTCTCTATCCAGGATGTGAACATCTTCATCCCTGAAAGAGTGACCGCTGGCCTGGAGATGAGTGTAGACTGCAGAATCCTGGCCTGATGATGTTGCTCTTCTGTGCTGGGCCATCCTTTTGGCCAGTTGTGGTTTAGTTTCCCCGATGTAGAACTGATCACAGCCCTCCTGGCACTCAACAGAATATACAATATTACTCTGTGCCGGCACAGGGACTGGATCTTTGAGAGGGACCGGTCTTTGCTGTAATGTGTTTTTGGTTTGAAAGCCATGGACGTCATGTTTAGAAAAGGAAATGTCTCGGTTTCTAACCCGTCCATCATTAAACGGGGGCAGCCACCGTGTCCATTGTCACCCTCTTATAACGCTTTTTTAGGTGAACATCAGGGCAGTAACGATCGGTCATTAGGGTGATGGTCCTCCTTTTGCATGTGAACAGTTAATTCAGGATGTCAGCAGCAAACTGGTTGATCCACTATGAGAAGGGGCTATTTATAAGACTGAGTTTATTGCAGCTCCTCAGTCTGAAGAAGTCTTTTGGATAAAAGATGAAACATTTCAACAACAAGAATCCATCCAGAGGACCTGACTGAACTTTATTAGATTTATCTACCTGGATTATTAAGCATGCATCAGGTTATTCACAATATTTTCACATGTAATAAATTGTTGATCAGATCCTCTACCGGCAACATGAGCTCACTGTCCGTATTTTTTAGAAGTCACATTTTTAGGTTAAGTGACATCCAGCATGTGGTTATGAAATGGACCTCAAAAGAGGAAAGCAATGCAGGATTAGTACTGAAGCAGATCAGTACTGGATTAGTTACCAGTATAAATAATCTGTAAAGTATATCGCCTTAGTATAGTATAAACTGGTTAATTAAAAAAAATTGTACACCACTGAGCTGTAGATTTGTCTTTCATCAAACACAACAATATCACCATATTATGTCAGTTGTAGCAGTAATATTAACACAAGGGGGGTAGTGATGCAGCATGGCTGAGCAGTTGATCAACATTGTTCCGCTGCACGAAGGTCTCCGGTTCGACTCTAGGATCGGACCTTTCGTGTGGCGTGTGCATGTTTTCCCTGTGGATGCGTGTTTTCTCAGGGTACTCTGGCCTCTTCCCACAGTCCTAAACACTCATGTTACTTTCAATGGCTAGGTGAATGGTTATTTGTCTCTTTCTTATTTTTGCGCTCCTCTGACGAGCTGGTGTCCTGTCCAGGTATGGAGCGAGGCCACAGCACAACCCTGAGCAGGAACAAGTGGGGACAAGAAAACAAATATATGCATGGACACTGGACAGGATAGTCACATCCAGTGTTTCCCCTACTTGTATACAAGTTGGGTGCCCCACCCCGTCAACAGAACTGAGCACCCCGCCTACCAAACCGAACTTGCCCCCTCACCCGGCACTGACGTAGCACTAAGCTAGCAGCACAAAATCCAGACTCTCTAGCTAAACAACTAAAGATGCCTCTTCCCTCAGGCTGAACGCCCCCCCTGCCTCTGTTCAAACCTGTTGGTACAAGCTGCGCTCAGACATGTCTCCGTCACCCCCCATCAACAAAAATCATGGATGAGATAAGCACCCCGCCATGGCGATGTCTGTGTCTCCACCGGCATTAAAACCTGACGCGAGTCCATTTTGGGCGCTCAGGTTTGTTTACGTTCATCCCGGAAGTAGAACTTCTTCTTCTGCGTTTTTTTTTTTTAAGGAAAGTTTACCACTTTGTGCATGTCAGCACTTCTATTCAGAACAAAAGCCCGCTGCACGTAAACGCTCGTCGTGAACGGATTGTGCCCGTTTAAATGATACGTGCAAATTATTTAATCTGAAAACATTTCAAAACGGTCAAAAGAATTTTGTGCATGTAAACATGTCAGTGTTAACACCACAACCACCGGTGTGCCTGAGGTGTACGTAACGATGTGCCTTTTAAAACTAAACAGGATAACTGGGATTAATGTTTTGATGTGCAGTCAAAGTTGCAGACAGTTGAAATTAGGGGTGCACCGATAAATTGGCCAGACGATTTATCGGGATTTCCTTAATTTTGGGTGATCGGCGATCAGCTGAAACTTACATGAGAAACCGATTTTACCTTTTTTTTGTAGTTTTAACAGCAGTTGTCTAAACTTCATTTATATTTCAGAGCGCTACCTCATGACCAGTTAAAACAAGTTTGTATTGTTTCTAGGATATTGTTCAAGGGTATGTATTGTTTTTCAATAAAATACTATTGGAAAATTGAAGGTGCTTTGTGACCTTATAACTCCTGACAATGTCGCTTATAAAACAAAATCGGAATTGGCAGGTCAGACTTTTTAGAGATCGGTGATCGGCCAGAAAACTGTAATTAGTGCACCCCTAGTTGAAATGAATGCTATTTTTTTTTTCACTTTTTGGTATTGAACATGTCTAAATGTAGCTCATACTTATCCTATTTTGATTGAATCTGGTTCACTCACTGCCTGGACTCATCAATGAAGCCATCGCATTAGATTTGACTCGTCCATAATTGTTGACTTGACCCATTGGTTTTTATTTTCTGTCTTTAACCAGCAGCCCTGAGTCACTGTGTCCAAATGTATTCAAAGAAACCGAATGGCTTAGTGAGTAAACATGTTGGCTCGTGTTTAACAATATTAACTGGCTGTATAAATGTTGGGAATATTCATGTTGGACAGTTCAGTGTATTTAAAAAACAGTACTAATATCACATCGAATGCATTCTAAAAATAAACATTTTTAAAGTTACTGTCTTTTCAGATTTTACACATTTCCTTTTTGTCAAAAGTAGGGATTCGTATTATCATGTGTTCATTTAGACTTTGGTATGAAGGATGCACATTGAAAAAGTTAATTTTTTCTTAAATTTCACTCAAGTCCTTCGATGTGATTATTTTGTTATTCTGCTTTACCCTTCAAGATTGTCATTAAATATGTTTAGGGGTGAATGTAATTGTTGCTTGTAATGACACTGTTGGATTATAGTGCTGAATTGTAACATTTAATTATAATTGCATCACATAAAAAAACATGAGCTTTGCTCTTAAACAAATTTTAAGTCGGGTTGATCACTGCCACCTGCCTGAAAGATATTTGATATTTTAAGTTTTTGCTTAATTAATTCTTTCTATTTCTTTTCTAGGTTTTGTGAAATGCAGTGGGAAAACGTTTAGGAATTAATGTGAGTGTGCTGGTGTTTGCTCTGTGAGGAGAGACCTGCCACCATGAAGAGTGAGGTGCCGTCTGAGGCTACTAGCAGACGGGAGCATCTGAAGGAGCCACTGGTGAACCCAGAGTCCATAGAGGAAGCCAAGAACTTCCCCAGCAACATGGAGGTTATTGGAAAGGCTGGCAGCGATTTTGAAACCCTGTGTGAGTCCAGGCATCGGGCCTTGAGGGACACGGGGTCCCACAGAGACCCAGATAGGAGCCTGCCTGGGCGCAGAAAAAGAAAAGGCCAACAGGCAGGGCCGTCGGACTGCTCTCTAAAAGAAGACCACATCAGTGAGAATTCACTGGCACCTCAGCGTGCCAGGATAGACCTTTTAGAGCATCCCAGTGAGGATGAACAGAACAATGAGTCCTCTTTTAGTGACTGCGCTTCCTCCCCTTCATCAAGCCTGCGGTTTGGGGACTCGGACACTCTCAGTTCAGATGATGAGGGGGAAGCTGGAGCAACAGTGGAGCAGCAAAAGACTCCTGCCCTTCCTACAGGGGGAACCACTGGAGTTGGCCTGCGCCCCAATTTGAGTCGAACTCGGGGCAGTCGTTCCCATAAGTGGGTGCGGTCTGAGGCTGAGCCAATGTTGCTGAAGCGGCCGTGTCTGAACAGCCGGCGGCCTCTGCATAGGAAACGCTTTGTGAAAACCGCTCCCGGAGGAGGTCAGCTGACTCAAAAGCAGAAAGAGCGGCTTCTACTGCAGAGGAAGAAACGTCAAGTGATTGCACAGAGGAAATATGCTCTGCTCCATAACAGTAGTAGTTCCAGTGAGGAGCTAAGCAGTGACTCATCCTCCCCTTCTTCTACCGAAGTGGATGATGAGCTGTATGTAGATGTGAGCAGCACCAGCAGCCAGCCCAACAGTGCTACTGTAGCAACAGGTAACGCCACACTTTAAAATGTAACATGTTTTATATCGTGTGCATCAGTTGTTTTACACCACGAGATATATTTGTTATTGAACGTTGCATAACTTGTAGAATTGCTTGTTAAATGTAAAACCTGTCCTCAGAGGGTAACTCCTTACTCTGCTGAGGCCAGAACATGGACGTAGGGTCTCACATTAGAGTCTTCTGTTTTAAGGGTTACCATATGAATTATTTGTTTACCCATAACTTCAAAAGGATTATAGGGTTTCACCAAGTTTATACAGTAAACAGTTTAACTATTATACATTATGTGATTCAGCAACATTGGTTGGGGATATAATCCAATACGGGCTTGTATTTTTTTAATCACTTTTTAAAAACAACAACTAGGACTACGTAGTATGTTAATGGAAGTTGTATTTTCTAAACCTCACTGGAACCACGAGCTCTAATGCTGCAGGAATAACAACATCTAGCATGGTGGACATATTTTAATTGAAGCACATTGATGCAGTATGGATTTTATACGCACTGAGAAGCAGAACAGAAAGAAGTAATGGTCAACGAGAGAGGAGGTCAGCATGTTGTGTAGTTTGCAGTGACGGCTTTGTTGCCATGATAACTTTAGATGAATTCAGTAGGTTTTTATTGTGATTTCCATTTATGCTCACTGTGTAATCAGGATTTATTTTTGCGTCTAGTTTTTCCCCTTCCTCGTCGTTGTTTATTTTTGTCCTGAGTTTGTGCAGTTTTCGTGGTAACTGATGTTTGCAGGTTCTAGTTGTGGCAACTATGTAGCAGTTGTGGCATTTTTGACATGGCTGACAATGTTTGGTAATAAAATGCTTGCATCACTTCGTCACAGTAGACAACTCTGAGGAAAAGACTATCACAGGCTGATCCCTGTCTTTATTATGAAACGGTAATGAAAACGGTCATTGCTTGATGCAGCGCGGCTAAAGAAAACTAACCCGAGCAAACTGAAAACCCAATTAATGTCTATTCAGTAAAGCAGAGTGAAGACTGTAAAAGTATTGTTTTTACATTCTGAGCCTCTACCATATACTAATGTTAAGACATAACTTAATTAAAAATAGTAAACATTTGAACTTGCAATAAATGGAATAAAAGATGCAACAGTTATAAGAATGTTTAAAACAGCTGATAGCAGTTACTTTGCTCTGTTTAAGGGGGCTTCCTTTGACATGTGGTACTAAAGGTAAATGCTGTTCTCTGTACATGTTGAAGCTGCAGGTTTATGCA